TCAAGAAAAACCTCAAGCTTATCCGAGATAGGCCTAGGCTTCCAATTGGTGGCGGCAGGGTCCGCAGTCACGTATGTGGCGGCATCGTCGGAGGAAGACCCTTCCTCCGTATCTTCAAAGCGTGGAGACAGTGGAATAGACAAGCGAACGCGAGATCCAGAAAAACTGCGGGAAGTAGGCATTGAATTCATCAAGATACATCGGGCTACAACTAAAATACAACGACCGTGCCGGTCCAGCCGACCACGTGCCAGTCCAGAAGAGAGACGCGTCAGCCAGTGTGCCGAGTGTCCTCGGGTTCGGGGAAGCGCGCAGTTAGCGCCTTTGTAAGCACACGTTCAACGTGCGCAGAGTCATTCGGAAGGCAGCTGAGGTCAGCATACCCATCGGCAGCGAGGCCATGGAAAAACTGGGTCGAAGCCTGCACGAAATTAACACCCGCGTAAAGGGAATAAGAATAAATGCGCCTCGAACAATGTAATAGCGCCTTGGGTGGCGCGATCGGCTTGCTCAACAGCATGATTGAAACAAATGGCTAGAAGAAGTTAGCGGTTGAGCATCCTTCGAAAGGAAAAGACACACACAATTGAAAAGAGTCCTCGATTTGTTGAGCTAGTTCGCGGCAGATGCCGGTGATCTCGTCGGCCCGCCATTCCCGGAGCGATGCCAGAAATAGTACTGGATTGATGAAGGAGCAATCGTCCTCCGCAGCCAACAGGCAGTTCGAGCACGGTACACCATTCGCTCGATATCGACAAGGGAGGTTATGAAGAATGCAATATGAGCATTTACCCATGAACTAGTGAGATGTTAGAGTGGGTTAAGCGTGGACCAGACTTACCACTGAGCGCGAACGAATTGCGCGCTGCACATCGATAGCAGTGGCGGCAGCCGGGTGGTCATGGATTTTTGGTAGGACGGATTCACCATTGGGCCCAAGAGACACGTCGAGTGCCATAGCGGGAGGAGGAACCCGGAAGCCCGGGTATGGCGATAAGATAGGAGAACGGCCCTCGATCACCGGGAAGCGAGGATCGACAGAGAAATCGGAAGTGTCAAAGTACGATGGATAAGGCATTGGATGCTTAATCGGGACGCCAAGAACCAGCTATATATAAAGGATCGGCTACGACAACAGTATCTAGGAGATACGATCAATCAAAGCTGTGGGAAAAGAAGCTGAGTGGGGACACTCAGGATTTTTCAAAAGGGGAGATGAAGAGCGGGCGACGCGTTGGGTGGGGTGAAACGCGAGCTGAAACGCGTGGTGAAACGCGCACAGCACGGTAGCGAGGAGTATTGGGCGGTGAGGAGGGAGACAGGACAACAGCCATGGGGACAATGGCGGTGGTGGAAACGGGTGGCGGCTGTGGCAGCAACGGCCAAGGCAGTGAGGGAGACCGAGGCTGTGGGACGCCACGGTCGGCTGGAGCTGAAACGGTAGCGAGGGACGCGAAAACCTATATATTTAGCTCAAATTGTACCTATTAGACCATTGAATCCCGTCACGGATTGCAGTCACAGCCTGATTACCAAAGGGTAAGGGCTTCACGGAAGGAAACGGAAGGACACGGCCTGCTTACCAAAGGGTAGGGGCATCTATTTGGACTACGACTACGACTACGACTACGACTACGGTACACTACGGAACGCAATTGAATTAAGAAGCGCCAAGACATTGATTGACACCGGAGCCGATAACGCCGCCGGTCCGATATTGTATTGGATCTTCACTCTACGTTCACACGACTCTTGCCGCTGCGCGGAAGGTCTCTCAAATTATCAAACTATCTACACACCCTATAAATTTTGAACACTACTGGATTGCAACAGTCATATACTTTGGCTGGAGCCCCGTGCATTTGCACGCGTCTTAAAACGAATCGGAGTTTGAATTTGGCTGGACTACTACATTGGTTGGTTGGGTTAGTTGGTTGTGTGTGTGTGTGTTGTGTTTCTGTTGAGTTCACTTCTCTTCTTCTCTTTTCCCCACCCCATCCATCCCATCCCATCCATCCATCACCCTCCTTTTGGCTGGTCCATCACCCATCTCTCCACCCACCCTCCCTTTCCTTTTCGAGCGTTTCATCTGGAGCCCACCGCGAGGGGGTTCATCCAGTTTAACAATCAACAAATTATATTGTGTTGATCACATATAATCACGAGTTCAAGGCTATCTGCAGCATATATTGCAAGAAATTTGGAACGGGAGAAAGCACGTGATCGCGCAGAGCGCTGGTCAGAATTATGTAACACACAAGTCACATTTGGTCACATTGATCCAGACACAACACAAACTGAGGCTGCTGAAGAAGATTCTTTTGAACTAGAAGGACATATACTGGCTGGACTACCTTCTATCCTTGAAGAATCTGAACTACAAGAAGGACAAGACTTTGGTCATAGCACTGAAGACCATCATCACTGGGTACCATTGATTGGTAACAGGAATACAGCAACTCCTTCTTTAAACATTTCATCATCAAGTGCTTCACCAGCAGTGGGGCATCAGGAGAGAGTTGTAGCTTGGGTTGAATTATTGGCTTCTGCACTTAGGCCAGACCCAGAAGATATCCCTGAAGGCAGTTCAGAGGTAGAAGTTAAGCAAGAAGAACAAGAACAGGACCTTGGAGAGACAAACCTTGAGCAGGCTCTAGGACTTGACTACCAGAATCCAGACAACTACCACAACTGGGATAACCAACTCCCATACACAACACCTATACCTGGTTCACCAAGTTCCAGTTCATCTTCTTCATCTTCATCTTCATCCAACAACCAAGCACCAATGGCAGCAAACCAGGCTAGTAATGGAACAAACTCTGCTCCATTCAAGATACCAAGACCATGGGAATCAGGAGTTCCTAGGTTCACATCAGAGGACAAGAATGATTTGATTGATTTCCTGGATCAAGTTGATGATATCATCACTTTGGGAAAAGTCAATCAGGATCAGGAAAAGAAGACTATGTTGACCAGTTACCTTTCCAACAAGAGGAAGGAAGAGTGGAGACTCTTAGCAGAGTACACTGATATTACCAAAACATATGAGGAGTTCAAGAAGGCAATCAAGAAGATCTATCCTGAGGTAGAGGAAGACAGGTTGGGTACCATGAAGGACCTGGAGGAGTTATGTGACGAGTATTATGGCATCTGTCACACTCAGGAAGGAAAACTTACCAGATTTGGATTGAAGTTCAAGGCTTTAATCAAGAAACTTCAGAGGAACCCTGCTATAATTCTGAACAAAGAGGCTTGTAGAAGGTACCTGGATACTCTGGAGAAAGAGTTTGCCAGATCTTTGAAGACTGTCATGCATACCAAGAATATTCTCAAGGAGGAGACACCTCCTGCAGCTGGAGCAGCAGCAACTTCAGACAGGAAGGAAGATCCAATTAAACTGGATGACTTGATCAAGTTGGCAGAAAGATATGCCAAGACCAATGGAGGAGACACCACCTATGACATTGGTTCACCAACTGAGGTCAGGAGATCAGAGAAATTTCCACGGGTCAAACTGGAAGAATGTGATGTCAGGCTTGATGATTTGGAAGGCCAAGTCTCTGGGCTAAGAGATATGGTTGATGCAGGACAGAAACAAACCAAGTCTTCAATTGATGAATTGGTCAAGGCTTTCCAAAATCAGAGGAACAACCCACCACGTGACCGTGACGATCAGGATCAGCGTGACAGAGCACAGAACTCTTATGGTCAACAAGACAGGGGTTACAACAATAATAGAGGATATGGTGGAGGTATGAGCAGAGGGGGAATGAATGGTGGCAACAGCAGCACCAGATTTGGTAGCGCTGCTTGACTGCTCGACAACGACTCGTTTGCTGAGCTCTGAGTCATTGAGTCTGCCCGAGGCAACCCAGATGACGTCGATGTCGGTGCAGGTGTCGATGCGGTCCGGGACGAGCCAGCTGCCACAGTCTTGTTCTTCGAGCCCTTAGGGCGTCCGCGAGGTCGACGAGGCACCGGCTCCGGGGGTGCTGAAGGCGCTTCGGAGCTGCCTTTCGGTGGTTTGAATTTGTGGGTCTTGAATTTGAACGCCTGCATGGCGAGTGGCGAGCAGACGAGATAAGGAGGCCAGAGGAAAGAGTGTTCCGAGCTCCGGACACAGCGACAGTGGGAAAGAATGTCCATAAAAGGCTATCTGCGACATAGATATCTATCAGAGGTATCCGTCCCACAGCACAGGTATCTAGCCTTAATTATCAAGGGTCCTCTGACCCGCCACACGGCGGTGCGCATGGCGTGGCGGTCCGGCGCTATACATCACCCGAGCACCGCCTCCGCTTCGTGGGTGCCCGGCGACCGGGGGCCGGGGCCGACTCCGCGGAAGCGACGTCGACGTCAGCCGTGCTTTGTCGGCTTGCCCTTGTACTCCCATCTTGCCTCCTGCCCCCACCTGCCTTCCGCACGAGCGAGAACTAGAGCGAGCACGAGCAACGCGTGACCGGGGCTGCGCCTGAGACGAAGACGACCGGATACGGACGGGTGCGGTGGGCCGCTGCTGCTTGCTTGACGACTGCCACCATTACGCGAGCGAGATCGGATACGGGTGACACTATCGATGGGCGACGACTACGGCGACAAGGACAAAGGCAAAGACGGGGAGCGCGAGCGCGAGAGGGAAGCAGGTGAGGCGGGTGGGAGCGGCAGCAGGGAGAGGGCGATAGGGCGCCGGAGCGGGGAAGGGGAGCAGAAGAGGGAGGGAAGCGGCGAGAGCCGGCGCGAGCGGGATAGGGAAAGGGAAAGAGAGAGACGGCGGAGTGGGGAGAGTGGCAGGGAGAGAGAAAGGGAGCGAAAGGATGAGAGGGATGAAGGGTCGCGACATCGTCATCGGGACCGAAACCGGGAGGGCGATGGTGACAGGCACAGAAGGCGGAGCGGGGACGGTGGCCGCGATAGACGGAGCGATGACGACAGGCACAGGGAGAGGCACAGCGAAAGGCGCAGAAGAAGGAGCGGGGAGAGCGATAGACAGTCGGACCATGGCGAGCACAGAAGAAGGAGGAGCAGGGACAGCGAGCGATACTCCTCTCATCATCACCACCATCGCGACCGCGACCGCGAGAGAGAAAAGGAGCGCGGTTGGGAGTCGGAGCACGAAAGCACCAGGCGGCGAAGTCGAAGTCGGGACCGGGAGCGGGGAAAGGCGCGGGCGAGGAGCAAGGAGACATATTCCAGCCGACACTACCGCGACTACGACAGAGACAGACACCATCGCTCTCGCCGCAGCCGCTCCAGGCATAGTGACCGTGCCAAACACCACCACCGCGAAGAAGAGCCGGCCCCGACACAAATATCTTCAGACATCTTGCGCGAAGTGGCCGTGACCGGCGCTGAGGCAATAACGGGCGAGGATGCACCGTTTGAAGTCATCAAGGGTGCGGAGGCAAGGCAGTTCGCGAAGCAGTTTATTCGGTGCGTGGCTACGTCTCTATTTTTTCCCCACATCTCATTACTTCCCCAGCGAACAAGTCTCTCGCGACCAGCTCGCCCAGCCCGCCGCCGCCGATGCAGATGGAAAGCCGACGTCGCCGGTGGAGGCGAACGACAAGGCGATCCAGAACACGATGCAGCCTGTTGTGTTTGCTGTCGTGCGCAACAATCACAACAACAAGTCCCGGCCTGCAGCGGCCTCAGGCCCGGCTCCCCGCGGAGGGACCGAAGGCGAACATCGTGCATTGGATCAAGGCGTGGCAGGGCAAGACAGACGGGGTGCGTGTTCGTTTTTTGTTCATCTCGGATTTGATACTTCTTCTACTTACTTCTTCCCCTTCATTCTTCTGCCCGTATTGACGGAACCTCAGCGCACCCACCCGCTCAGCGGCCGCCGCCGGCGCGCCAACTTCCTCGACAACGAGTTCAACAAGGCGAAGCGTACACTGGACGACTACGCCAGCCGGCGCGCGAGCGGTGTGCCCGAGATGATCCGCGTCGACGACGCCGACCCCGATCCGGACGGTGACGAGGGGCAGGACGTGACGACACCGACGGCCGCGGCACCAAGGAAGCCCATGCCACCGCCGACGACAGTGGGGACTGGCGCGGGGCGGAAGCGGCAGATCACGGACCCGCAGCCGCAGCCGCAGCTCCCGCCGATGCTGGCCCGCTTAGCACGTGAGCACGAGCAAGAGCAGGACGGGGATACAGAAGGGTGCGCTTTTGGATTCATCATTTCTGTCTTCATTGGGCTGAGACTCGAATAGGCTGGCACCGCCCCCGCAGTCGCGCCGCTCGGTGTCGGACCCGCTCCCCTCTGCGTTCCCCCCGACGGCGGCGCAGTTCACGTTCCCGATGGTGATGGAGCGCCCGCCGCTCGGGAGCCACCGCGGGTCTGTGGATAGCATGGACAGCGTGACGTCGCTCCCGCTGCTGGGCATGGTGCGGGGCGTGCCTGTTGGGAATAGAGGTGCGTGTTGCCCTTTGTTTCGCGTCATACACCGCCCTTTGTGCGGCACGCAGGAGAGGCGTGGTTTTCATTTGCCCACCCTGGCCGGCTGCGTGATGTTTCTTTCTTGCGTTGCTGGCTGCCGTGCATTCGCCTCTGTGCTTATCATGTCCTTTGTCTAGTCCCGCTCCGCGTAACGAACCCCAGCGACCGGCTGTCCACGCTGTGAGTGTCCTTTCGTCTCCCCCTCCTTATCTCCTCCCCCGTATCCCCGTCGGGTCATGCCCGCGGCCACGCGCCGTCCGCATTTGGCTCCTCGAGTCACCCGGTGCGGAACAGGCGCCCGCGTGTGCCGGGTATATATAGCCCCCCTCGCACGCACGCGCGGGGCTCTCTTTTACCCCCCGTTCTGTGATTTCCGCATCAGATGACGATGACGATGCCGGCGGTCCCCGGCGTGGTGTTCCATCCCGCGTCCGTGTCCGAATCGGCGTCGCTCCCCTCGCTGTCTGCGCTCTCGGACGTGTCGCTGACGAGAGAGTTTCTTTATCCTAGGTCGTCTTCGTCGAACGCCAGCGCGCCGCAGCTTTCCATCAACGTCGGCGGTCTCTCGATCCCGGGGGGCATGGGTGCAGGGCCCGGCCCGTCCCCGCTGGGCCAGGCACAGAGCACAGGGCCGGAAGAGCACCCGATATACGGCGTCCCGGCGACCGCGCGATCGGATAAGAGCTACAGCAGCAGAGAAAGCCGGAAGAGCCGGAAAAGCGGAAGGAGCGGCGAGCGGTCGGAGGGCGAGGCCAAGGGGCAGGAGAAGGAGAAGCTGTTGATCGTGCTGCTAGACGAGAACGACGAGGGGCTGCACTCGCGCTCGGCGTCGCTGGCGAGTCGTGGCCGGCCGAATGAAGTGGAGCGGGAGAAGGAGAAGGAGCATGTAGTTGGAGCGCCGGAGTCGTGGCATGGGTGCGTTTATATTATCTATCTTCCGACATACCTTACCGTTTTAATGCAGACTTGAACGCCGGCTCTCCTCCCGACCCGCCTCTCGCCGGCCCTCGCCCGCCAGCCTTCGGCCTACCGCAAGCGGATCAGCGGGGTCCCCGTGGCTCGGGCCGCTGATGGACCGCGACGAGGACGTGACGTACGTGCGCCCGCGTGGCGATGCAGAGGACTCGGCCGACTACCTTTCCGATGCCGACGAACACGACGACGCGCCTGTCCCTGTGCGTGCGCTCGTGTCGCAGCTGCAAGCGCTGGGCTACGCGCCGTCCACCGGCCCGGGCCCGAGTCCCTATGCGAGCCCGTACAACGCGAGTCCGTATGCGAGCCCATATGCCTCGGCCTCGCCATACGCGTCGCCCGCGTCGTATGCTTCCCCGGCGTCGTACGGCCCGGGCGCGCCGCTGCCTTTGGCGTCATCCTACAGCGCCTCGCCATACGCGTCCCCCGCGCACCTTTCTCCATACCGCCGCCTCCCCTCCGCCGGTTCGCGCCCGCCGACCCCGCCCTACGCCGCGCTCACCACCGGGCCGACCGGGGCGTCCGTCTACACGCCCGCGCCCGCGAACTACGTCAGCCCTGCGCCGGCGGGGGGCGGGCATGTACGCGCCGTTCGCATCGCCATACGTGTCCCCACTGCCAGTGCCCGCGCCGCCGCTCGGGGGCTATCCCTACTCGCCGTACGCCGCGAGCCCGGGGAGCTACCACCCGTTCGTGTCCCCCGGAGCGAGCCCGTACCATGTGCAGCTCCCGCTGAGCCGCGCGCCGAGTGCCGGCCCTGGAGCGGGTGCCCAGCAGGGGCAGACGCAGTACCCGCAGTCACCGTATGCGGGGATATATCGGTAGCGGCAACGGGCGAGTTTTTCTTTCCTTTTCTTTCCTTTGTGTCTTGCAGGTGTGGACATGATTTCATGCTTTTTGTCATGATTTGGTATCCGTGCTGTATTCATCGTTTCATAGAAATAACCAGGCAAAACTCAATGTATTATAATATAACATTTCTTTGTTAGTTCCATCTGTATATAGTACTTAGTATCAGTGGACGCCGGGCAGGTGCCAAGTCCAACACTGGCTCAGCTTATCATATGTCATCCTTGGATTGCATAGTTCATTTGGCTATAAATGTTGTCCTTATACCAAATGCTTACACAGCCTGTGGCTGAATTTGGCTCAGAGCAGGCCAAAAAAGTCAGCAATCCGACATTATTTATACTTAGCTCTTAAAGAATGAACGCAAATCAACACCTTGTGCCACAGTGCCAGCAGTACTAAATTGAAAAAGCACAATTTGGAAATTTGGTAGCCGATTGGATGTTATTGTGGATAAATAAATAAAATGTGATGAAATCATGGAAATAACTATCTAATCAGAAGTTTACTATCAGCAGGCTGTAAGAATATATATATATATATAGAATGGTAGAAGTTGTTGGACAATGAATTATCAAGGTGTCTTCAAAAGGTTAAGTGGCTACTCTTCCAAAAGATTGATATGCAGATTAAAAATAGCAGCTAGGTTCTCCCTAGACTCTGAAGACACTGTCCAGTTATATGTTCTCAGAGGACTTGTGCCTCAGAGCTGGCCTAGTTGTGAGTAGGTGATAGCCAACTTTTGCTGGGCCCTGATTGTGTCTGGATACTGTGTTCCAGGAATTCAAACATGCCGTGCAATGACCTGCTCCTCCAGAATTTGTGCTTCTGAGTATTTGCCCTGGAATGAGTAAATAAGAGCCAAGTTTGCTTGTGCACGGATTGTGTCTGAATGCTCTGTTCCCAGAATTTGAACACACTGTGCAACCACCTGCTCCTGCAGAACTTGTGCTTTTAAGTAGTTGCCCTGGTCTGAGTAAATAAGAGCCAAGTTTGTTTGTGCACTGATTGTGTCTGGATGCACTGTTCCAAGGATTCGTGCACGCTGTGCAACTACCTGCTCTCGCAGAACTTGTGCCTCAGAGTGCTTGCCCTGTTGTGAATAGGTAACAGCCAAGTTTGCTTGTGCACTGATAGTGTCTGGATGCTCTGTTCCAAGAATTTGGAGATACTGTGCAATCACCTGCTCCTCCAGAATTTGTGCTTCTGAGTATTTGCCCTGGAATGAGTAAATAAGAGCCAAGTTTGCTTGTGCACGGATTGTGTCTGAATGCTCTGTTCCCAGAATTTGAACACACTGTGCAACCACCTGCTCCTCCAGAATTTGTGCTTCTGAGTATTTGCCCTGGAATGAGTAAATAAGAGCCAAGTTTGCTTGTGCACGGATTGTGTCTGAATGCTCTGTTCCCAGAATTTGAACACACTGTGCAACCACCTGCTCCTGCAGAACTTGTGCTTTCAAGTAGTTGCCCTGGTCTAAGTAAATAAGAGCCAAGTTTGTTTGTGCACTGATTGTGTCTGGATGCACTGTTCCAAGGATTCGTACACGCTGTGCAACTACCTGCTCTCGCAGAACTTGTGCCTCAGAGTGCTTGCCCTGTTGTGAATAGGTAACAGCCAAGTTTGCTTGTGTACTGATTGTGTCTGGATGCTCTGTTCCAAGAATTCGGAGACACTGTGCAATCACCTGCTCTTGCAGAACTTGTGCCTCAGAGTACTTGCCCTGCTGTAAATATATAACAGCCAAGTTTGCTTGTGCACTGATTGTGTCTGGATGCTCTGTTCCAAGGATTTGAACACGCTGTGCAACCACTTGCTCTGGCAGAACTTGTGCCTCAGAGTGCTTACCCTGTTGTGAATAGGTTATAGCCAAGTTCTCTTGTGCACTGATTGTGTCTGGATGCTCTGTTCCTAGAATTCGGAGACGCTGTGCAAGCACCTGCTCCTCAAGAACTTGTGCTTCAAAGTATTTGCCCTGGTTTGAGTAGGTACTAGCTAAGCTTGCATTTGCTGTAATCATTTGGTTGTTTTGCTTTTCAACCAACATTTTACAGCCCTGTACAATCAGCTTGTCCAAATCATATGCTTTCTCAAAATTTCCTGATTCTGTGTATATCATTCTAAATTGCCTTTGGAACTCCCAAGGAATATGCTCAGGCTTTATCCTAATCTTGCTTATGTGTATCTGCAGCATAATATATTCCCCTATGTTGTCACTACAACTGCCAGCCATTCCAAGTAGTCCCATGACCATAGTATCCATCTTTATAGTGTTAATAATCCTTGAAGAAATCCACTCATGAACCAGGGGATGCATGGAGTATCCTTCATCTCTTTTAGTAATGAGGGAATATTTTTGTACCTCATTCAATAATGATCCAAAAGCTACAGCATCCCAGTCTCCCTCTTTGGTTTGTAGAAAAGCCAAAAAATCCAGAGCACCTTTCAGTTTCCACTTGCCTGGTTGAGGCATTTCACTATAATACCATAGTCTAGTTGACCTTGTTAAATAACCCCACAGATGCAATTTCCTGTGTGGAATGATAGTCTTCACTTTGTACTCTGTTGCCCTTTCAAAGATCCTTGCTGTGATTCTGTTGTAATGCATAAGAGAACAGATCTCTAAGAATTCTTGGGCAAGTGGAGACAATTGTTCAAAGCTAATCTTCCATGTAGTCCCTACTGTGTACTTGTAGGAAGTCTCTCTTTCCTCTGGTTGGGCATTCCATAGTGTTGATTTCTCCTTCTTATAGATATCAAGATACAAAAAGGGATTTTCCTTTAACACATCATTCTGCCGAATATATGCAGCAGCATGTGAAATTGCCAGAGGAAAGAACCCCAGCTCCTGGAATCTATTAGTTGGTAAACTTAAAATCATTTATTTCCTTACCTTCACAATTTCCTTCGCTGCTGTTTCATTGCTGGTTTCTGATAACATCTGTAGTAGTTTCACAGCATTATCTGATGACAGGTCCCCAATTTCACAGGCCAAGCCATTGACACCTGCATGACTACGGAGGTTGGGGTTGCGAGATGTGATGAGCACATTCCCATGATTACACTGTGGAAGAGCATTCCTGATATTGATCTTCACATCAGCATTATCAAGGAGAATAATCCAATCTTCATGGGACTGCTGCTTGAGCCATAACTTGGCAGCATCTACATTGATTTCTCCTGTTTTAACCGTTGCCAGTTCCAAGTAACCTGCTCGGATTGTGTCTTCACTTGTTGCATCAATATAGAACTTGTCTCTGAATCTGAAACCTTCTTAGAACATTGCTTGTGTCCTCTTCCGGACACTAGTACTATACCTTGACTTTGAGATATATTGAAGGGCACATTCAGTTTTCCCAACTCCACCTAGACCATAGAGCAGACCAATTGTTTGCTGCCTAGTACTTGTGGAATCCAGGTGTTCAAAATATGCTTCAAGTTTATCAAGAACATCTTGATTGCCTACAAAGAACTTTGAGGGAGGTGGGCATCCAGAGCCTGAGAATGGCTTATCTATCAACATCATATCAAAAAATTTGTTTATTTTTCTTGTTCACTGCTAGGAACAAAGTCAGCTCTGCAGGCATTCATCTGATAGACAATTTCTTACAGGTTACCTGCTGGTGCTCCCGCCCCGATTGTAGCATTCCCGTGTATATTAAATGTGTTCCCCATTCCAGGGCCACCTGCACCTAGGGCTGTAGACCGTACCGTATACGGCTACGGCCGTGTACGGTACGGCCTCTGACGGCGCCGGGACGGCCCCACGCCGTACCGTAAGCCCTCGAGTTCAAGGCGCTTACGGTACGGGACGGCGCCGTCACGCCGTATTACGGTGACGGTACGGCCGCTCAGGTCACACGGTGTGACCTGAGCCAAAGTCGGGCTCCGAGCGACCGGGCCGGGTCGGGCGGCGGTGCCAAGCACACCTGCCCGCGGTGCAGGGCCGCCTGAGTGATGTCCTGGCCATGTTGGCTGACCACCAACAGCGGCTGGGCCCTAGCAACGGGCGCCCGGGGGTCCGATACCGGACGGATCAACGATGTCCGGATCAAATCCCGGGATAGCCGAGGTAGGCCGTATATACGGCTACCGTCCCCGTATACGGGACGGCCCTTACGGCGTCACCGACGTCCCGTCGCCGTACCGTCAACTCGGTCCCCAAGGGGCCTTACGGTACGGTTACGGCGCCGTATTACGGCCGGCCGTACGCCGTATATGACGGCGACGGCCTACAGCCCTACCTGCACCGGCATGCATGCCTTTCCCCCCGTCTCCACCCTTTCCACCTAAGGTCTCATCAGCTGCTGACGGCCAGTGTATACAGTGTTTGATTACCAATAAGCTTGTGGATAGCCAAGTTCTGTGCGTCCATGTGCTGAAGCTGAAGCTGGCGGGGCAAAAGGAAGGATCAAACGCGGCGCTAATATATATACATCGCAGTCCTGAGTCGGTCTGACACCACACGCATGCCTCGAGGCCCCAGCACGACTTGGCCAGCGGCCAGCCACCGATCCGCATGCAACCACTCTTCTCTCCCACGATGACAACGGAAATGAAACTTTATTTTAGGCTATACATACGGAACCAGGAGAATGTTTCAGTCGCTCGACCTGAATCTAGACGCATACCAAAATTGAGCCTGGGGGTTTATGATCAGTTGAGGGGCTGCGAGGTAAATCAGTAGTAGTAGTGCGGACAACACCACGGAACAGGGGACCAAAGGAGATCGATAATAAGAAGCCACGCTTCCCCAGCGTGTTCGGATCGGGACCGTGACAATGGAAGACCATGCCACTGCAGCGTTTCCCCGTAATCGTGAGGCCCCATAATTTCCCACCGACACGCCTTTCTGCTGCCCTGCCTAGCAACGGGCACTGTCCGTCACGGTGCTATCCACGACTGCCCACGAGCGGCCCGCGGGTGACGCCCTGCAGCCGTGAACCTGCGCGACTGTGGGAACGACAGAAGTTTGTAAGAAGAAGAAACCGTGCGATCCGCGTGAGCATCGGTTGATCTGCTCGTCCCCGGAAACGACGAAGATGATCTCGGGCAGGCAAGCCGTTCGCGCGCCTGCTAACGTAGTCGGCGCTTCGGCCTCAAGTTGTTGCATTCAAGTTCGTTGTTGAGGAAGTTCGCAGGTCAGCAGATGCCGCAGGGGTTTTCTGTAACGCCCGTCGTCTTTGCATCTATCCATCGTCTTTCGCATGAACGCAGGCAGGGTACTTGGTCGGGGCGTGGTGTCATGTACTTAGGCCGAAATGCAAGTTGTGTGGCGGGGAGTTCGAATCCCTAGTAACACATGCAGTGCCCTTGTTTGATTTAAATCCCTAGCTCCTCGCGCTCTACCTCTTCCCACATGCGCAGGACCTTCATCTTGATATCTTGGAACACCTCTGTGAGCGAATCAGTCCACTCAGCACTGTCCGCGGATGCAAGCCATCCCGGCTACTCACCGCCCTCCCACGCTGCACTGCACTCTTCCACGACGGTGTACCGATCGTGTGCCCGTCCGCGCCACTGCAAGACGCAGGTGCCGGTGTCAAGGCCGATCGCCGTCAGGGCCGGATGTCGTTCCGCTATCAACGCACGTGCGGATGTAAGTACCGCCGTCGCCGGCGAGCGAGCGGGCTTCACGGCGGTGGTGTCGCCATCCGGATCGACGAAGTGCCACACGAGCACGAGTGTTCGGAGCGCTGGCCCGAGGTACCCGCCATCGGCAAGCATGTTCAGAAATGCGATCGCCTAGGCAGTGTGCCAGTGATTCCGTGAGCGGCGCATGTGGGTAGAAGGAAGAGGAGGATACGCACGATGTCGTCGGTATCCTCACCGGTCCCACGTACAGTGGCCTCAAAGTAAATCTGGAGGTGGGCGAGGTTGGGACAGCACGTCCACAGCGGAGCGAGTTCGGCCAGGCGAATGGCCTCGAGGTGGACGGACAGTGCTCCAAGTGCCGGGCACGTGTTCGCCCTCAACGGTGCGAACAAGCGCTCTTTCTCCACCGTGTCGGGGCAGACGAGCACTCGTAGCCGCGGGGACTGCTGCAGGAACGGAGCTATCAGCCGATGCGAGGCGGTGAACAGCTTCTTGATATGGCTAAATATGGCCCGACACCCTGCAAGGACGTCCGCGAGGACATCTGGGTGCACGATGTCCACCTCAAGCGTCTCGAGACGCGGAAACTTGGGGAGCAGCGCATAGAAGACGGGATAGTCGGTGGAGAATGCATGGAAAATGTACAGCCGGAAGACGGCGGGAAACGTAGGGATTTTCTCCGGAGAGGCGGTCCAGGACAGCAGAGGGCAGCGCAGGCTGAGATCTTTGAGTGTCGCCGGGTTCAAGAGTGGCAGCAACGGGCCGAAGTAGTCAAACAGAGGATACGCAAATAGAGAAAACTTCTCTATTCGACTCGGAGGTACCGGCGCCGATAAGGCATCCAGCGACAGCCGTTTTATACTCCACTGAATATCTATGGCCGAAATTTTTGGCAACGCCGAAATTTTGCGCAACGCATCTGCTGGAAGTGATATGTCAACGAGCTCGAGGGATCTGAGGTGCGTAAACCGTTGTAGCCGCGCAAAGAACATGTTGAGGACGACCAGCTCCGTCTCATCCTCCGTCACCCGAGTTGGACCTTCCGATTCGCTCCACGAGTCTGACGTGCTGATGCGGCATGAGCGAACGAGCGGCGCAATATCCTCCGATGTCCAGAAGTCTAGCCGCTCAGTGGCACAACGAAAGGCGTCCCCAGTCTCCACTTCGTAGCGCAGCGGATTGTCCGCATAGCCGAGCAGACTATATGGCGTCAAGAGAAAACGCGCAAACCGCAGGGGCCGCCCCACGGTCGCGAAGCCGCGGCTGGTGGCCACGACGGCCGCCAGAGATGCAGCAGGTAGTCCACTGAACACTTCGGTCCACACCTCGGGTGGCGTCGCGTGGGACATGGTGGTTTGCGACAAGAAGTGCTGACCACGTGGCAACCGTCACGATGACTTCACATGCCAGTCACATGCCAGTCACGGTGATAGGGAGTTCCTCGACAACTTCTTTACAGGCTCACTGCTGCAAAAGCTACTTCAAGGACCTCAACTTTTAAGTAGTATTAATATTTGTACTAGTATAAGCACAGATAATCAGATAGAAACTCCGTCAAAGCTCTCTCCCCATGGCGGGGTGCTTATGATCCCGGGTGCTAATATCATCGCCATCGTCCTTGGTTGGACTGATTTCGGTGTCTTTCGTGACCTGCACAATCTGGTGCACATCTGACCGCGCAATGGCATCAGCGTAAAGCAGACAAAACGATAGAAAGTACACACGTATCCCGCCAAACGTGTCCAGCGCTGTCGCCCTTTCGCGGGCTTCGCGTCCACGCGACCGTGAGCCTGATATTCGCTCGTCCGAAAGGTCTGTGGTGTCGCCCCCGTCGCGCGCCCGGCGGACGGAGACGAGGTTGTACAACAGCGTGCAGCCGTACACGCGGCCGAGGAAGAAGCCAAACGCGAGGGTAATCGCCGTGTCTGGCCACGCCACGAAGCCGACCAATGCCAGCGTCGTGAAGAGCCCCGTGACTGACCCCGTTTGGACCGAGGAGACGATCAGCCGCCGCACGACATGCTGGGTCTGCTTGAACGGAGACTGGTATTTAATCAGTTGAAAGACGAGTGCACAGGCGATGGCGGCGTCGGCGACCGCTGAGCTGATGAACCAGAGTCTGTGGCGGGTCAGGATGAGAACACATATGTGGGAGAACATAGTGGCGCACAACGTAACGGGGACCACGATTTTGCGGTCGGTGATTGAAGGGTGGATAAATGTGACGACTCCAACACCAATTGCCGCTCCCATCGAAGTGGTGGCGCCGAGTGCCAAAACGGCGCAGATGAAGTAGTTCTTGGATCTGGGGCAGAGTGGGTAAGGAGGGGGAAAAAGAAGATAATGACGCACAACGCTCCATAGCGGCGGATAAGATATAACTGCTCGATATACCCACTGAGGCCGGTAGAAATAACCTTCGAACTGCATCAGGACATGGAAGAAAGGGCGCAGTAGACCGACATAGAGAGGTAGCGGCCATGGGTTGTTTGCCAGATACGCGACGTCGCCCCAGTGGACTATCAGTACCTATAGTGATGTCGTCAGTGTCGTGATCGTGAAAACATTCACCACTGCAGACGTACCAGATAGGCAGCGGCCCAGCTGAAGACAGTGCCCATGGTGTCTACGACCAGCTGCAATGCAACAATCCATGGCGCGAGGCCTTTGTTCGACGGACGGGTGTGATCTAGGAAATGTTGGACAACAGCTAAGTTGAAGAAGAAAGACCACGCACGCCGCCTGCCCGTGTAATACCGCCACGCCAACACCAGCTCGAGCATGTACGCCAGCGAGTTCGCCCATGTGCCGACGAGTGCAGGCCTGAAAAGCGTCACTACGCAGAAGCTGGCAGAGCGCGGATACGCACGCAAGGAAACTTTGCAGCGCCGGCGACGACATTCCGACGTGGGTCCAGCAGGAGCGCTCCTTTGCCCACCTGGCGCCACTTTAACCTCTTCCCAAGACCAATTCCCTGCAAGCGGTTGTGGCCCCTGAGCTCCAGACATTGATGCCGATGCGACACGAACTAGTCGTCCACGCGCTCCCTTACACCAGGGTCCTAGGTCGATCGTGTTCGCAAGGAACGCGAAACCTAACGATTGGCGAGGGAGCGCTTGCTCGGAGCGCAAGGGCTGGAACAGGTAGCGCCAGGGCGGCAGGCACGACGCGTGGCACGGCGTGCGCGGGTGACTCCGCCTCGATGATGGTGGTTCGTTGACAAGGGTCTGGCCGCACGTGATCCGTGACAGCTTGGCTTGTCGACTTCGGCCGATCAGCGGACGATCATTGGTGTGCACATCACTTGCAAGTTAATTAGATGGAAGGTGCAGATCCTTACGATTTGTGCCTGAACACTGCGGCGCAAGCAACACAGGCAACGACTGGCGGGCGGGTAAACTTGGCACAGTTACGGGTTCCGAGGCGGCCAACGTGAAACTTGGAGTAAGTTCTCCCATCATCAATACTGATCACCGATAACAGGGCTTGACTAAACCAAGGCAACAGTTTCGCATTTGAACTGCAAGCAAAGAAGGATTTCTCAAAGGAGTTCATTCAAGTTAATATTGTTTCATTTGTGCACGGCCAGCCTGAGCCATTTTTATGCAGTACTTACTTATTTTAAGTTATTTATTACATATCACACTAATAAAACTCCAGGAAAGTAGACTTGATTTGTAAGAAATTGGGGCATATATTAAGTTGTCACATTGGACTTAACTCAAAGTCAATATCAGCTAACAATTTTGTTGCTACAATTTAGAGCAAATGAATGTGCCAAATATGCCCCAAGATATAAGACTATATATATATATCAAAAATCAGAGACAGCACCAAAGTGTACCTGATATATTAGAAGTGACAAATTGCCATTATATATGACAAATCACCCTTATATATGACAAATTGGGTAATAATGATGTGACACTATTGTTTTGACAAATATTCAGGTTCAAATAAGGTGCACTTATTATCTGCAAAACATGGTCAGGAAGGGGTAGTCACAATATCTGCTATATTTGACGTCTGTCATATCCGTGTATTTGTTAAGAGCTGCGGCCCGTGGACCGGTCACGGCCCGCCGGGCTCTGGCCCGATCCGATCTGGTCGCTCCGGCGACCTTGTACTCTGTATGTCCTTCGCCTTGTTACTTACATCTCCGTATGTCCTTATGCTTGTTACTTTCTATATACACTCCATACTTTGTACTTACTTATGGTCTTCCCTTTCTACTTTAGATTAGTATTTAAACAGCTAAAGTAGCTACGGTACTTTAGCTTGATTATAAACGTTACTTGCACTCCTCCTCTGTGCGGAACGACTCCAATAAGTCTTCTCTATTCTCTTGTCCTTCAACCGGACTTCACTCCACTCGTGGACCTTGTCCGCTCCGACTCCACTCCGGTCCGGTTGGTCTTGTGTTCTTTCGTGTCAGGCAGCTACTGGCTTGTTAGCTATAGTAGAAACCCCCTCTATTCTGCACGACACTTGACAATGTCCCAACACAGAACTTGATTCCTTGTAAATCAAATACAATTTTTGCAGCTTTTATTGCATATCAATCAAAGCAGCAAAAAAGGCTATTGTTTTGGACCATTATTTTTTATATATGAATTTTACTTAGGGGTCCATTTTTTGGCTGAAACCCCGGTGTGTAGTGAGCTTGTACACTATTTTGCATGAAACTGGATTATAATTATAATGTATCATAATGTGATGCTTTGATGATATTCATAGATTTGTCACACTAGCACAAAGCAAAGCCAGGTTTGGACACCACCAAAGTGTTCACAGTTCTACCAGCTATTAGTTTCCAGAAAATCCAATATCTGGATCCAGGGGATTCTATCTGAATTATAGGAGGTCTGCTCAGCTGGAATGCACATGCCAAACCATATTGATGTCAAGTGCATGATAATATAGTGATATAAGAATATAATGTCCTAGTAATAATAATTAATAAAAGATAGTATTTATGGCAATTTATTCATTATAATGAATGCAAATAAAATGATTCTGCTAGAAGAAAGTTTCAATATAATAAAACTTTCTTTCAGTATACTTTTGCAGACAATCAAGCCTAACAACTTTTATAGCCCCATCAACTATTGTAAAAGTAATCTTATTAGTGCATATAAGGTTAATAAGAACATGAATCTTAAATTTTATACACTGTCAAAACTTAATCAAGTAAATTTAAGGTAACTCACTTCAGCATTCTTTCCAATGGTGCTGTCTTTGAAGCATTCTATTAAGCTGTTCTTGTCAGGGGAACCTCCCTTTCGGCCCGGAGACGCGCCCGATTCCGGTCCGACTCCGGTTCCGACTCCGGTCCGGCCCTCCATCTCGCCCGCACAATCACCGATCCGTCAACGCCCTCCCGACGGTCGCCCTGGGACCTCGCCTGCGACGCCGCCCAAGCCTTCTGTGCCCGACAGCGGCAGCTACGGACAAGCAGTATATAGTCAGCTACCTAGCAGGCGGACCCTTAGAGTTTCTTCTCTTTGGATCCTCCCCTGCTAGGTCAGCTTCATTTGTATTCGCTTACCAATGTTCACGCTTTGGATCCTCCCCTGCTAGGACCTTGATCTCAGGCCTCCGGGGTTGCCCTTACAGCAGAAGAAACTCTCTACGGGATCAACCGGACAAGATTGCCAGGTTCGGCGCTGACTCAGGCTCGGAGTACGAGTCCGTTCCGCCCTCGTCACCGCCCCTGCCACTTGTCCCCTCCTCCTCTACTCCTGTGGTCCCCGCACCCGTCATGCCGTCCGGAGTCACTCCTACCGCAGACGCCCGGCTGGACTCACTCGAGGCAAAAATCGATAGCCTAACTGAGGCCCTTGCTTTACTCACCAACCAGGCTTCCGCTGCCGCTGCCGCCGCTAATAATGCTGGCGGACCCCAAACACCATCGCCGGAGACGTCGATTCCGACTCCGACTCCGGTCCAGGGCGACTCGAAGCCCTTTTTGGCGACATCAACCTCGCCTCAAAATTGGTCTTGCGACCAAACCCCCCGTTCACCTTCAACGGCGACCGGAAACGGGCGCGCGTTCCTTTACGCGGTCCGCACCTACGCCCGCCTTGCCCCTGAGGCCTTCGTGGTCAACGGAGAGGCGGCGAGGAAAAGGCTGTCCGCTATGCCATGTCGTTTATGGCAGAAGGACCCGCTCAGCAATGGGCGGAGCGCCACGGAAGCAAAGCCCCGTTTCCGTTTCCGTCCTGGGGCTCGTTTGTTTCCGAGTTTCGACTCCGGTTCGTCGAGGAGAACGAGCAAGATCACGCTCTCCAAGCTGGAGACTTCCGCCTATCACATGGGTACAAAGGATGTCTACCAGTACACCGATGACTTCGAGGACCTGATGGACCTCGCCGGATTCAAGACGCGCTGGTCAAGGTGACCAAGTTCCGCCACGGACTTGACCCCTTGATCAATAACGGAATCACGTCCTCGAACGACCCCCCGGACCTCCGGGATTACCTTAGCTGGCGCACCCGGGCCTTCCGTCAATACAAGGCCCTGGTCCGGGCCAAGCTGATTAAGTCAGCCGCCCCCAAGACGCCTGGCGGTTTGATTCGGACTCCGTTTCCGGTCAACCGCATCCCGGCTCTGGCCCCTTTCTGCCCGGTGGCTCCGGTCGTGCCACCCGCGGCCCGCGGCCCGCGCCCCCGCTCCGGCGCCTCCAGCTCCCGTCCCTATGGAGTTGGATCGCACCAGGGCTCGGGGTGCCCCTCGTCGCGCCTGCTTCAGGTGCGGCAACCCAAACCATCTCGCCCGGGATTGCCCCCTCCCCGCCGATGTCTGCTCGATGGACATCCTCGACGAGGTGATCCAACAACTCGGTGACGAGATGTTAGCGGAGTTGATCGCCCGCTACACGGACACAGCTGCCCTGCCGGAGACGGCAGCGGAGTCGATGGCCGGAGAGGATTTTGTCCCCGCGACGAGTGACTGGTGTGCCCTCGTTCGCGTCTATAAATCGTTTTGCCTCTTTGTATGATGAATGCAGTTCCTTGCCCTACAATGAGCCCGAAACAAAAGACACACCCTCTCCTGCCCCCGCCTCGACTCCGACTCCGACTCCGCCCGTGACTCCGGTCATCGTCCTTCGCCGCCTCACTGCCTGGGAAAAGAAACTATCCAAGCAGTATACTGTTGCCGCTGCCCCTGGGGCGAACTCCCTCCACCTCCCGTTGGAGCTCGAGTCCACCACCAGTGCGTTGAAGCTCTCGCTCTCTGGGCTTGTCGACTGTGGTGCCACCTCCGACTTCATTGACACGAACTATGTTGCTCGGAATGGCATTCCGGTCCGCACCCTCGATCAGCCGATTCCGGTTTTCAATGTCGATGGCACCCCCAATGACGCTGGCTCCATCAAACAGATCGCGGACTTGGTCCTGCGCTACAAGGGCCATGCCGAACGAGTTCAGCTGGCCGTCACCCATCTTGGCAAGCAAGACCTCATCCTGGGGTATTCCTGGTTGCGGAAACATAACCCAGAGATCAATTGGGAAACCAAGGAGGTCAAGATGACACGGTGCCCCCGCAATTGCTCGACCTGCCGTGAAGAAGAGCGCGTCGAACGGACCGAGCTGCGGCGACTCCGGTCGCTTCAGAAGCGTCTCCGCTCCGGCCCGTTCCCCTCGGTTTGCACTATGGACCTCTCTGGCCCTGAGGACGGAGACGATTCCGATTCCAGTCTCGATTCCGACCTGCCTGATCTGATGCCGGACTCCGACGACGACGATGATGATGGTCAGCTTGAAGATGGTGACCGCATCTTCTACACCTCGTTCCGCCCCTCGGAGGAGATATGCGCTGGCAGTACTGTCTCGCAACGCCTGGCCGAAGCCTTCGCCAGGAACTCCGCCCCTCCGCCCTCCGAGATCCCGGACTGGGCTAAGGAGTTTCAGGACGTCTTCAACAAGGAGTCCTTCGACACGCTACCGGAGCGGAGAGCCTGGGACCATGCCATTGAACTCGTCCCCGACGCTAAGCCCACCAACTGCAAGGTGTACCCCATCTCGCCCCTCGAGCAACGCGAGCTCGACGCGTTCATCGAGGAAGGGCTTTCGACGGGCCGGATTCGCCCCTCCAAGTCTCCGATGGCGTCTCCGGTCTTCTTCGTCAAGAAGAAGGACGGCGGACTCCGCTTCGTCCAGGACTACCGTGCTCTCAATGCGATGACTGTCAAAAACCGGTACCCCCTTCCGCTGATCAACGACCTCATCAACCAGCTCATATACCTGAATCTATGCATAAGATATGGGTGGGCTCCACAGAATGTAATGCATAAGATATGGGTCCTGCTTCCTAATATATGAAATAACTGTAATTTAAGAATATTACAGTGTACTGATGGTCTATCATTGTTGGGTTGATGCCATCTAGATATATACATTGATGTGGAACGATTTTTGATTGCCATCACTGTTTCTGATGGCTATATAAAGATATATCAATTTCATCCCAATTAGGATGATATTCTCTTTTCCATATCACATAGTCCCCCTAATTACATAACGGGTCATCGGCCTGAAGAAAAGGGACTTAAAGCTATTTTATATGATATTACATAAGTCATACCTATCAATCCTATTGCATAATGACCATCTTGATCCAATGTCACAATCTTTGTCACAATCCTCAGCTATTAGGGCCTGGGTGGGCACCCATATCTTATGCATTACATTCTCTGGAGCCCACCAGTATCTTATGCATAGATTCAGTCTTAGAGGGTGCATCAACCGGCTCAAAGGCGCTCGTTACTTCACCAAACTCGACGTCCGTTGGGGCTTCAACAACGTCCGGATCAAGGAAGGTGACGAGTGGAAAGCGGCTTTCCGGACTAACCGAGGCCTGTTCGAGCCCTTGGTGATGTATTTCGGCCTGGCAAACTCTCCCGCGACGTTCCAAACGATGATGAATGACATTTTCCAGGATCTCATCCTCTCCGGAGACGTCATGATCTACCTTGACGACATCCTGATCGCCCATTCCGACCTCCGGAAACACCGGCAGATTGTCCAGGAGGTCTTACGGCGACTCCGGGAGCACAAGTTGTACCTTCGAGCGGAGAAGTGCGACTTTGAAAAATCGTCAATCGAGTACCTCGGAGTCATCATCTCCCACAACCACGTCGAAATGGACCCCGTCAAGGTCGCAGGCGTCTCCGCTTGGCCGACTCCGGAAAACAAGAAGGACATTCAGCAGTTCCTTGGGTTCGCTAACTTCTACCGCAGGTTCATTCGGGACTTCTCGACCCTTGCGCGCCCTCTTTTCGTGCTCACCAAGAAGGACCAGCAATGGACTTGGGGTGACGCGGAGGCCTCCGCGTTCCAAGCGATCAAGGACGCGGTCACCTCGGAACCGGTCCTGGCGATTCCGGACGACGCACGGCCTCGCGATCATCCGCGCACTCGAGGAGTATAGACACTTCCTCGAGGGCGCTGCGCACCCTGTCGAGATTTGGACTGACCATAAGAATTTGGAGTACTTCAGGAAGACGCAGCACCTCAACCGGAGACAGGCCCGGTGGTCTCTGTACCTCTCCCGGTTCGACTTCACGCTGCACCACAAGCCTGGCCGCGATATGGGTCGGCCTGACGCCCTCTCCCGGAGACCCGACCACGGAGTCGATTCCGACAACTCCGATGTCGTCCTTCTGCGGCCTGAACTCCTCCATGTCCGCGCACTCGAGGGCGTTTCCGTTTCCGGTCCTGGCTCTGAACTCCTCCGCGACATCCGTGATGCCCTCTCCGGTGAGCGGCCGTGAGCCAGACCTAGAGGAGCCCGTCGCACTAGCGGCCCGGCAACTTCTTAAGGTTCAAGGTCAGGCTCGAGGCCCCCGCTCCTCACGTTCTGACGAGTGGGCCGTCTCCGGCGGTCTTCTCCATTTCCGAGGAAAAATTGTCGTACCAAAGGACAAGGACCTCCGGAGACGCATCATCGAGCTCATACGACGGTCGATGCAGTAGGGGCAGCCCGCCTCTACTACCGGAATGTCTGGCGGCACCATGGGACTCCGGAGAAGTACGTCTCCGACCGCGGCTCGCAGTTCATCGCGGACTTCACCCGAGAACTTTGGCGTCTAATCGGCATCAAGCCCGCCACGTCCACCGCGTACCACCCGCAGACAGACGGTCAGACAGAGCGCGTCAACCAGGAGCTGGAGCAGTACTTGCGGATCTTCACCAACTACCAGCAGGACGACTGGGATGAGCTGATTCCGGCCCGGAGTTCGCCTACAACAACCACGTTCACTCCTCCACGCAGCAGGTCCCCTTCATGACGGACACGGGACGGCTCCCGCGCATGGGCTTCGAACCCGGAGTCCGTTCCGCCATGGAGTCAGTGAACGAGTTCCGCGACCGGATCGCCACTGGTGTTGCTGAAGCCAAGGCCGCGCTCACTAAGGCCAAAGAGGAGTACAAGCGCTACTACGACCGGAGACGGACTCCGTCTCCGGAGTTTAAGGTTGGCGACCGTGTTTGGCTGGATGCCTCTGACATCAGGACGACTCGCCCCTCGGAAAAGTTCTCCCATCGCCGCCTCGGACCGTTCAAGATAGTCGCGGAGATCAGCAAAGGTGCCTACAAGCTCGACCTCCCTCCGCGCTACTCAAAGCTCCACCCGGTCTTCCCCGTCGTCAAGCTCGAGCTCGCCCAGGACGACCCCCTTCGACGGACGCCCCGGCTACGACCAGCCCCCTCCGGACCTCGAGGACGGAGTCCCGGAGTGGGAAGTAGAGGAAATCCTGGACGCAAGGGTGAGGTATAAACGGCTGAACTACTTTGTCAGATGGAAAGGCTACGACGCATCGCATGACCAATGGGTCCGCTTCGACCGCGTCTTCGCCCCAGAGAAGATTGCGGAGTTCTATCGTAAGTACCCTGGCAAGCCCACGACACATCGCCTCCGCGACCTTCGACTCGATTCCGTTCCGGTCTATGCGTCGGGACGCCGCATTCAAAGGGGGGTGATGTCAGGGGAACCTCCCTTTCGGCCCGGAGACGCGCCCGATTCCGGTCCGACTCCGGTTCCGACTCCGGTCCGGCCCTCCATCTCGCCCGCACAATCACCGATCCGTCAACGCCCTCCCGACGGTCGCCCTGGGACCTCGCCTGCGACGCCGCCCAAGCCTTCTGTGCCCGACAGCGGCAGCTACAGACAAGCAGTATATAGTCAGCTACCTAGCAGGCGGACCCTTAGAGTTTCTTCTCTTTGGATCCTCCCCTGCTAGGTCAGCTTCATTTGTATTCGCTTACCAATGTTCACGCTTTGGATCCTCCCCTGCTAGGACCTTGATCTCAGGCCTCCGGGGTTGCCCTTACACCCATATTCTGACTGTTAAAGTGGTTGCAAGCACCAGGAAAAACTGAAAAAAACTTCCCTGCAACTTGAAGTCACCAGAGATGCAACTTCTCTCCCCAAAATGTAGTTCTTGCACAGAAGCTGTCAGGGGAACCCCTGCTTCGGCCTCCTTTGGACCGTCCGAGCGCATCCGAGGCACATCCAACCGGCGCCCCCTCGGACGCTCCGACCCACCCCAACCATCGCCCACGGCCTCCTTCGCCCGCACAATCACCGATCCGTCAAGACCCTCCCAACGATCACCTTGGGACAGAGCCTGCAACGCCGCTCAGGACTTCTGCGCTCTACGTCGGCAGTTACGGACGACCAGTATATAGTTGGCGCCCTAGCAGGCGGACCCTTAGAGTTTCTTCTCTTTGGATCCTCCCCTGCTAGGTCGGTCCCTCCGTGTATTTCCGTAGCTTCTATTCACGCTTTGGATCCTCTCCTGCTAGGCTTTCGTTGGAGTCCCCAGGGTTGCCCTTACAGAAGCAAATGTCTCAAGGAATCTATGCTAAAAACCAATTTAAGTTACCTGGCTACTTGATGCTACATGCCCTCCCAAGATATTACCATAACAATATATGTCACACCAAACATTTCATTATAAACTCTAGCTATACTCTCCCGGACTTAACACCCCGTCGCGAAATCTCAAACCCTTCTCGGCGAGGCCTTGCATGCGACGTACGAGTGCATCGCTCAGCCCCGCTGTCGGCCATTTCTTCGTTCGTTGGGGTGTCCGGTGACCTCGCGCAACCGTGCGCGCGGACACGGGCAGTAGGCTCGTCGCACTGCTCGCCGCAGCGGGGACGGCGTACAGGTTTTCACCCTCGCCCTCGCTATTGCTGTCGCTCTCCTCGTCGTCTTCCTCGCTACTGTCATTACCGGAGCCTTCCGCCCCGTCCTCTGAGTCAGACTCAGACTCCTCCTCCTCTTGCTCGGCGCCGCTCTCCTCTTCCTCATCCGTCAATATCTCGTCCCCGGCCACCGCTGCCGGCCGCGGAACCCAGAACACGCCGAGAAATGTAAGCCCTTTGTCCACCCGGCTCTCCACGAAGCGCACGAACACGTGCTCGTCAAACCCCAGCAATGTGCGCAGATACAGCCTCTGTAGGCGCGGAAGTATGAGCACACCTTTCGCGACCGCCAACAGCCTCAGGACGCCGTCTGTTATGACGATCCTCTTCCCCTCAATCACCACATCTGTCAGGTCCAGCTTCTCGAGGGCTTTAAGCGGCGCGAGAACCTCTCCTAGCTCACGCTCGCCAACGAATGTCCGCAATGTGAGCGACACGAGCGTCCGGGCGAACCCAGACCGCTCCGCCATCGCCATAAACGACGTGTGGTGCCACATCGGCGCCGGATGCGTTCGTCTTGCTTTCAAATGGAGGTGGTACAGCCCCGTGAACGTCACGCCGTCCCACAAACGTCGTACCGCCGCGCCGCTTACTGGCGGATCAAAGCAGCACCCCACATCGATCCCGAACCGTCGTACGACGCTACGCACGTGCGGAAGTGGTACATTCGGCGGAGGCATGCGCTGTGCGTTGATGTAGAAGTACGCTGACGCGCCGGATGGCAGGGCACCCATGAACGACAGCGCTGTCCGCGTCTCCATCGGGCCGCCGCATGCACGGAACACATCCACGCGTGACCACGGGACCGTGAGCAAGCACGTGCTCGGTCCCCAGAAGATGACCTCACGCAGCCGCGGGGCCTCTGCGAACATGGATACTGTCTCTGCACGCGTGTGCAGGCCGAGCTTCTCGAGGAGGGGTAGATTTCCGCGCACAGGCCCGAGCAAATGCAACAGATTTCGATCGATGCGAATGTCGGCCTCGCGCCAACGCGCCGAGTGAGGCACAAGCCGAGCAAAAACGTCGGAGGCGTATCGGTCGTCGGATTCGGTGATCACGCGGAGCGTCAGCGGCGCACCCGTGCTGTGCGTAAGGCACGTGTCGAGGAGGGCCAAGAGTACTGTAGGCCGGACGCCACAGCTGCCCCACGTGCCCGTCTCGATCGCGATGTGCGCCCAAAGTTTCGGTGTGCCGTGTATGAGGCGGCGCCAGTGGCAGGAGACCTATGTAAGTTCACTGAGCAACGAAAACCTCCGTAATAGGAATCAGTCAACTCACCTGGCTGAGTGTCACCAGCCACGGCTTCCGCAATCTCTCCAGCTCCTGCTGAGGGCTCCCCGTGTCCGGAACGCCCTGCTTCCTCACGGGGACGAGACCCGATGGCGCACACAAGTCGAACACTTCACACAACAACTCCACCGGCAGTCGTCTGATTGGGGCAAACGCACTGGCGATCGCGGCCGCCTCGGTCCGGACCACAGCCCGCTGTCGTCTGAGGCCATCTAGCTCCGCTTCGCATGCCGCTATTCGTGCGTTGTAGTGCGCCAGCTGCCGCGCGGGGTTAGCAGATGCAGCCATTGCTAACGGAGGGACCACGTTGGCGCGGAGGAAGGGGGAGAAGTTGGCCAAGGCGCGAGCGGTGGCCGGTGGGAACTGGGAGGGGTAGTGGTAAGGGAGCTGCGGTGGACCCTAGCGCAGAGGGCGAGGGCGAGTCCTCGAGCGCGTGAGCGTCGTTGTCGTCGGCGTCGTCGGCCCACATGCCGTCTGTGAGAGAGGGATCCGGTGAATCCGCTTCGTCGTTTGTCGGATGTTTGTCGTCGTCGAGTGGCGTGGCGCGCGCGCGGGGCCGGCGAGGCGGAACGAGGTGGGTGAAAGTAAGAGGAGAAGGGCGTGTGGGAGAAAACGAGGCGTGGCACCTGTCAATCGCTGATCAAATTCAAAAAGACCCGACCCGATTCTAATTTGCCGGGCCCCGCAATCTCCCGCGATCCGACCCGACAACATATCGTAAATCGATTTTTCCGCATTGACATTATAATATCGGATGTTTGGCCGCGCCCATTGTTATGATATTGGGTTACTTCCTATCAGGGAAAAGAAATTGGATATAATTCTGAGCAGTGCCAATCTGTCACTTTTTACATGAGAAATTCATGTTCAAAGACTGTGGCTCCTTGTAAGAACAAACACTTATAAATATGATTTGATGTAGTAATATGATTTGAAAATTGAAGCTGACACACAGAATGGAGCATTATTATGTTGAGGGTTGCAGACACTATATTGCAGCTTATCTGGATACTAGCAAGTTTGCACTAGCCTTTGGACAGCAGTGGCATTTTGCTGTTGCATGTTGGGTGGCTCCAATGCCCTAGAGTGGCTCCACAGGTGGCTCTGTCAATGACATCATCACCACTGATTGCGCAATGGCAAAGCTTGGCCTTTTTTGACTGGCTTGGCCTTTTCTGGTCAAAAAAGGCTGAACCCAACCCTCTTTTTGGTTTAGAAATGGTTTTGGCTGAAGTTAAGTTTGGGTTCGAACTACCAAACCTAGCCATCACTAAGCAAATGTGAGAAATGACAAAGGTAGATAAAAGAAGTATACATGTGAGTGTGGTAATAATGGGGTTGATGGTGAATAGTATGGAGAAGGTATTGGTAGTAATGGTGTTGAGTGGGGTGGGGGTTAATTCAGAAGAGAGTAGGTATGATATACAGAGTAGGCCCTTGTAGCTATGTCAGGCGGACATCCCTTTCAGCCCCCTGGAGACCATTCCGGTCTAATTCCAATTCCGAGCTAACCCCTACTAAAGCCCGCACCCTAGGACCTAGCCTGCAGCGCTACCCAAGCCTTCTGTACTTAACAGTTCTAGACCTTGCTAACCTCTGCAAGTGCCTTAAACAGCCCGAGGCACTTGTGGGAGAACTCCTCAGAGGGCTGGGTTGTTCTAATGTTAGAGGTGTCAAGCTAAACCTTATTACTAACTTAGATTTTTGGGGTGTCTGAACGCTTCTAATTATAGTACTGTTTATACTTGTTCTTGGCTTTGATAAGCACGGCCCTTGCTTCAAAGACACTGTTTGCTATCCAATCACAAACCTACTAACTCCAACTCAAAGTGGACGCCTGGTTCGAAACCGATTTTGGGAAGCCGACTGGTGTCTGGAATAAAGGATACCTGTTAAGTGGAGAATAAATGTGGTTGTTATAGGTGTACTCAGCGGCAGGGATAAGCTCATCCCAGGTATCTTGTTTGTAGTTTTTTTAGATTTAGGTGTTGTTGGGAATGGCATCGCCGGCCGGCGCTTATTCAGCCCGGCCGCTCCGGACCTTCCCCGAGTTTCTTTCTGTTTCTACTTATTCATCTTGCTCACTATTGCTAGAAATTGCTAGAACAAATCTACCTACTATATAAACCAATGTAATAGCAGTAGTAAATTCATACTCTTCTTCTATCCTCCTGCTCCTCTGCGCCTCTTCTTCCGCCTACATCCTCAACAGGTTATGGGCCCCGGCCATAACTGAATTGCCCGAGTATCACACGCCGCCGGAATCTTGCTTCTATCACACATCTGCCACTACCGCGATCTATTCGCACGCCAAGGAATCTACTACCGCGCACGCCTGCTGCGCAACCGCCTACTGTCTAACTACTGCCGTGCACTGCCGCACAACCTACTACTACTGCTTTACCACTGCCGTGCATTGCCGCACACCTGCCACGCTACTCGCCGCCCGCACGCTTACCGCGCACCGCCACTGATTGCCTACTGCCGCGCACGCTTACCGCGCCACTGCCACACTACTTGCTTATCTCGCGCACCGCTTGCCGCGCACCCGCTACCTGCCGCTAACCACCACACTGCTTCTCCGCCATGTCTGCCTCCGAAGCCGCTTCCGCTTACCGCATCCATCACCTGACTGGTGAGGACAACTACGCCACATGGGCCGTCAAGATGACGGACATACTCACCGACTTTGGCTATCTTGAGCATGCCCTGGGCACCGCGCTCCGCCCCGAACACAAACTCGATGACAAAGGAGCTGTTGTCGACCCCCAAGGCACTACTGCCTCCGCCATCACTGCCTGGGACGTCAAGGACCGCAAGGCCCTGTCCCAAATCCGTCTCCGGATCACCGACGACTCTCCGCTCGTCTACGTCACTGCCGCTACCACCGCTGCCGAAGCTTGGCAAACCCTCGCTGACACCTACCAGCCAAAAGGCGTCATCGCCATTGTACTTCTTCGCCGCCAGCTGTTCCGCCTCTCATGCCCCGGAAGGCGGCAGCATCGAGGAACACATACGCAAGCTTACTAACCTCCGCACACGCCTTGCTGGCCAAAACTCACAACTCACCGACAACAAGTTCTCCATCACACTGCTTACCTCGCTACCAGACTCCTGGGACACCTTCATCTCCGGGATCGACACCGCCGCTCTCACGTCGTCCACCAAACTTATTGCCCGCATCCTCGAACAGAACCGCCGCCGCACTGCTAAGCCGAACTCTGATGAGGTCGCGTTAGCCGCCCGCAATACCTCGAACAAGCCGCCCCATAAGCCATTCAATCCCAACGTCACTTGCTTCGGATGCGGCCGCCACGGCCACATCAAGCCAGATTGCAACGACACCCGCCGCGGCATCACATTTACTCAGGCCGAGAAAGACCGCAACGAGCGCAACAGCCGTACCGCGCTCGCATCGTCTGCGACCGCACCAAGGCCACGGACACCCCCAACTTCACTCCAGGGGGAGTTTTTCCTTCCATCCGGCAAGCCCGCGTCAAGCACACAGACATACGCACTCACCGGCGACTCCATCGGGCAACACAGTCTTCTAAATGAAGATTCAGTTGTTATCTCCACCATATGCCCCCCTACTCACGGACTCAACTCTTCTCCATCACCACCTTTCAATCGCGACCCGTCTCGACGTCACGCCGCCGCCTCGATGGGACTCGCGCTTGAGGGGGAGTGTTGGGAATGGCATCGCCGGCCGGCGCTTATTCAGCCCGGCCGCTCCGGACCTTCCCCGAGTTTCTTTCTGTTTCTACTTATTCATCTTGCTCACTATTGCTAGAAATTGCTAGAACAAATCTACCTACTATATAAACCAATGTAATAGCAGTAGTAAATTCATACTCTTCTTCTATCCTCCTGCTCCTCTGCGCCTCTTCTTCCGCCTACATCCTCAACAGGTGTACTGCTTAAGCTTCTAGTTAACACATTTAGTTTGTCTATTAGCCTGCAGGTGGTAAGCCATTGAGGTAGTGGGCTTGACACCAATCAGAGACCAGAGTTTAGGCATGAAGTTAGCAATGAACTGTGAACCACAGTCTGAAATGTACTTCTTGAAGGTTCCATAGTAACTCTAGACATTCAGATAGTATAGGCAGGCACCTCAGACTGTGTATATCACCGTAAGGTACTTGGTGAAGTGAGCACGCATCGTACGCATAGGCTTTAGGGAGCTTGATGATGAAGTCCACCATGACAGTCAGCATTTAGGGGGGACTTTGATTGGGTGTAACTTCCTCTGCAGCAACCTTTGGAGGGTCTTTGTGCAGCAGCATAAGTTACAGGTTGCGACATAGTATCTGATATAGCAGCTGTTAATTATGTGAGCCTGAAGTGCATCAGTAAAATATTATAGATACATTATAGATATTTGTAGAATATTTTAGATACTGTCCTGTAGTATATAAAGGGTTCAGAATAGCTAAACCCCCAGTGTTTACTACAACTAGCCTAATAGCTAGAATACACAAGTACCATTGATGAGTCAAAACTTAACAGCAGCCCATCTAGCCACTGGGAACATGGTACAGCATGAAGTAGGCAAGCCTTATATAGGTAATACTACTGGTAACATGTTACATAGCACATTATTGAATATTGGAAGCCAAGTCATCTAGGTGCACATGGTGATATGTGTCTTGTGTAAGCACCTTGACCTCCTAAACTATGCGACACAGAGATAAGGGTAAGTAGTAGGGTGCAGTTTTTTGATCCGGTTTACAAACCGGTTTATAAACCAGTGTTTATAAACACCGGTTTAGAAAGATTTCACTGGGTCTCTGGTTCATAAACCAGGCTAGTCACATGACTTAAGTGATCCAACTACTGCTAGCTGATCAACATTATTAATTATGAGTCCTGTACATTATATATAGTAAATTATCACCTGTACCACAGGTTACTGAGAGAAAAGAGGTATAAAGGCAACCCTTTCAGCTAGAATGTAAGGCTGGAAAAATTTATATCATGCCATCAAAAATATCACATGTTTAGTTGCCTGGTTTATAAACCAGTTTATAAACACCAGTTTGGGACACTGAAAATTATAAACCGTTTTTAAATACTCAAATATTTAAAAACTGCACCCTAAACAGTACTTGTAACTGCACTTGACTAAATAATCACCAGCAACTGCTTATGATGTTCTGCTCTGTTGTAATCACAAGCTCTGCCAGGAAGTTCATAAATTAAAGAAAGAATGTTGCAAGCTGAAAAAGAAACAAACCTCTAAGGAAAACGAATGATGCTCTATGCTGGAGTGTATATTATGCCTTTTT